ATACATTAAATTCCTGTGAATGCACCAAGAATCCTCACCAGCACAGACAGGTGCCCCTCCTGTCCTGGCACAGATGTTCTGCTGTCCCTTCCACCCAGCAACAATGCCCAGGGACAGCAAATCCCTTTCCCAGCACAGAAAGCAGAACCTGCACCTCTGCATCGTCAGGTAATGCTCCAAAGGGACACATTTATAGAGGAAAACACTGCTCTGAACCAAACTCCCAATTCCAGGGGTTTTGTRTCTGATGAGCTGCAATGGGATCCAGGAACCAAAACCCTACAGCACCTGCTCTTTAGCATCCAAAGCAAAACCTATTTATTTAATAGGCTATTATTATTTAATAATATTTCCATGCTCCAAGACCACCCAGCAGCACAGACCAAAGCTGTGGATGACATTTCCCAAAGGATTTCCTGATCTGAACCAGCACTGATGTATCTGCACTCCTAAAGGCTCAGGAGTTTCACCCATCATTGCTGTTCTCAGGGAAAACTCAGAGCAYGGGCAATTTTTCAAACATCTCTCAGAGTTCACCTGCAGAAATGGGAACAGGATCTCAACTTTCACAGGCATTAGCGATTAAACAGGACCATATTTCCTCCTAAAAATGGGTCAGATGCTGCAAAAGTAAGGACAGCCAAAGGAGGGGAAGAACAATAAATAGAAGCTGACAAGACAAAAGCACAAGAAGCATCTWATCTCTGCGTGTGTGCGTGTCAAAATATCTGCAGATCAGTAAAAATCGCTGCCCTTTGAGAAGGGTCCAGAAATGCACAGTGCAGGGATCAGGCTGAGGGCAAAAGGCCAAAGGAAAGGACAAAGGACAGGGAAATCATGGAARCTCTGTGCAGATCCAATTCATGCTGCCAGGTGCTGTTTATTATTTTGTTTGGGCTGTGATTTTTTGGGGAGTGTGTGTGGAACTGGGTTTTGCTCTGGGGGGTTTAATTTTTGAACAGACACCTCCAARTTCTGCACAGGAAAACACATCAATGAGGCAGCTGCTGCAAGTGCATTTTTACCAAGTTCCCATTCCAGGAGATTTCACGCTGCCTTTTAAGCCCCAAAGCCCCAAACTTCCACGGAATTARTTTCTCAATCTCGGGCTTACAGCGCCATCAGTTAATGTAAACTGTGGCACATGAGTAATAAATAAAATAAAGAGCACAAAGGAAAACACTCACATTGTCCAAGCCCTGCTCCGTAATACCCCATCTCACCACAAAAATGATAATGACACAAAAAAGGGCAGCTCTGGCATAGAAAGGAGAACTTGCTTTGTGTTTTGTCCACCCTTTGGCAAAAACATTTCCAAGTAAGGAAGGCAAATTATTTTTATGAGGAGCAGCACGGCAATGCAGTAGATTTTCCTTTTTTAGGGGTCTGTTTATTTTTTTTTTTTGGTTACAAAGGGAAATGAAGATTGTAAAAGGAATAAGAAACTATAGGGAAAACACAGCTATTAGGATGGAAAACCAAGAACTAGGCATTGGCCCATACAGGAAAAAAGAATAAATGGTGATGTTTCCACTAGAAATGTGTTCTATCTGAGGATTGATGAAAATTCTGTGTGTCAGCCAGGCTGGAGGTGGTCAGAGTTTTCATTGGTTCAAACCTTCAGATCACAGATAGAGCATTAAAAATGAGGGTTTTTTGACCACATGTCTACAGAAGCCTTTAATACAACATTTTTAATGAAAATAAGGTGGAATTGGTGGCTTCTTCTGTCTTTTTGTTGTAGAAGTAGGACCAGAACAATCAGATAAAAGATAAACAATGCAGAGGAAATGAAACATTGGYTTGATGGGCCAATGTTACAATATTTGAACATTAAAAACTCCTAAAATTTCCCCTTTTAGTGAAGGAATTGCTGCAGATATCTGCCCAGCCCATTCCCAGCGTGGCACGAGCTGCTCCACAAAGCTTTGCACAGCAGTGAAAGGAAAAACTCAACATTCAGAGAAAAATKATCTGGAAATAAATTGAGGGAAGACAGGAAAAAAAAAAAACCCAGTGGAAAGAACAGTAGTTGCCCAGATTAGTGAAGCATAATGATCTGCCTTAATTGATTTCTCTAATTTTTATTTATGTAAATCAGAAAACAAACGTGAAACCCTTCCTGAGCTCKTTATTATCCTCAAGCCAAATGTATTTCAAAGCTGAACTACAGCAGAATTTTGCACTTGAGTAAAGCCTGCAGCAACCATGCAAAAGAGGGAAAACTTGCTGTTAATAACTACAAATTCTGCCCRTTTAGGAGAGAATTAACAACAGGCCCTTAATCAGGAACATGATTTGATCACATTTATATCGCTGCAACTAAAAATATTTTTGCCCTGAGGAAACTCAACAGTGCTGAACTTAAAACAACCTCTGAACCTACAGAAATCCATGTTCTACATTTGCTCTTCACATCTCTGTGAGCTCCCATTTGTGGAGCTCTGCTCACCAGAAAAACGCTCCTCTCAAATCAAACAGAAAGAAACAAGTGTAGGTTACACTCAGGGTGTAACAGTCTATCAAAAGAAAGATGAAGCCGAAATTTAACTTAATTGCTTGCTTAATTTAAAGTCTGCTCTCTGAAAAGGGGAACTTTTCACGCTGTGGCAGATTGAAAAAGGTTTAAATGATGCCGTTTCTCACGCTGCATTTCCAGGTGCACATCAGAGGAAGGCTTTCAGGGCTGGAGACAACGTGAGGAAACAAAAACTGTTCCATAATTCCCTGGAATAATCGTGCCAWGGTGTTTGCACTGCCACAGAGAGCATCAGCAGCAAAATAAAAAACAAAACAGCGCAATCAGAGCTCCTGTTTCGAAAGCACAGGATGTAAAATATTCATGTTTCTCTAAGTATTGAACTGCAAAATGCTTTCTAATGATAGGAATATAGAATCCCAGAATCATTAAGGTTGGAAAAGCCCTCCCAGCCCATCGAGGCCAAGCTCTGCCCCATCCCCACTTTTTACCAAGTCCAGAGCACTGAGTGCCACCAGCCCTTCTTTGGGCACTTCCAGGGATGGAGACTCCAAATCTCCTTGGGCAGTCCCTGCCAAGGCCTGACCCCCTTTCCAATTTTTGTATTCTCAGTAATTTTGATCACTAATTCGTCTTTTCAGCTTCAGTTTGTGACTTTTTAGACACAAGCTTCAGAAAGCTGAGCTGAAAACAAATTGGCTTAACTTTATCASGGAAGTTTTGTTTTACAGAAGTATCATCCCAAGAGTGTGAACTCTTTGATTGTGGACACAATCAAGTTTAATATATGATGGTTAAAAACCCCATTAATTAAACTTATTAGTGCATCACCAACAGGTTGCTACAAACCATGTAAAATTAGGATATTTCTTAGAGATTTTGACTCAGGACACAGAAAAAAAATCACTGAATACTAAGTGTCCAAAGAGAAACTGTAGAATCTCGCTGATACAGACAAGAGTCAGGTTGTAACTATATTTAGGTTCCTAAAAAGTATCACTTCTGAGGCATTTAAAAACAAACAGAGCTGCATTTAGTCATGGTTGTGCTCATGAATGGARTCTGCAGGAAAAACAGGAGTGAATTCAGAATTTCAGCTGGCTCTGTAAAGATTCTCACCAGCAGAATTGAGCCTAGCTCACCAGAATTACAGTGGTAGAAGGAATTCCAGGCAGGGAATCCAAAYTGGGGAGGAACTGCCACGCCAGAGCTGATCTAACCTCAATGCAGCTCCACTTATTTACCTGTAATGAACCCCAAAATAATTCCTGAGTGAGGAACCACTGAGCTGTCCTGAATGGGACACTGCAGACTGATCTGCAGCACTGGGATGGGTGGCAAAAAACTGAAGGGTATCTACAAAATTTAATATGAATGCTTTGGAGAAGAGAGGAAAAATCATGGATGTCTGCTCACCTCCACCAGGARATGCTCTGTGTGTGCCTGCAAGTCTCTGCTTGCAGAAAGAAAACTTATTTATTGCAACATCTTTAAAAGGCATCAGCCTCCGACATGCACTTTCTGAAAGGTTTAATTTCAAGAAGCATCAGCTCATATCAACTTTCACGAAAATACCACAGAATCCATAATTTCCCTAACTGCTAAGTAAAAAGAAACATTCAGGAGAGTCAGATGTGCTCCAAGGCAAGAGCAAATACCCATTAAAATGCCAYGAAAGAAAGAAGGAAAAGGCCAACTAATGAGTACACAATGTGCAGCTGCAGGAGAGGTGACAGGGAAAAGGTAGAAGGGACAACAAAAAGGCTCATCCTAATTAAGCAAACATGTGACAAAGAAAGAAAACAAACCTGTACCAAATAGGTGTGGTTATTTAATGATTAAATGCTAAAAAATGAGAAGAATTTGGCAGAAATACAGGCCGTGTGAGAATACAGCATTTACAGTTACCTTGCACTACAGCAGCTTTCACTTCCTCAAGGTTAGCAGGTTTTATTAAATCAGTAATTTTATACAGGTGGATTTTATTTTTTTTTTTTTTTTTTTTTTTTGTCATTCAGTATTACATAAGATAGAATTGTCTTGCCCTCACACAGAGTTAAAGCCAAAGGTCCTCCTGAACACGCATTGTACGAAAATGAAAACCAGGGGCTTTGGGTTATGAAAAGAAGCCATATGACTAAAAAGTGAATCCATTTTCCAAAACGCCCACACAGACAAGAGCTCCTGATGAGAAAAATGATCTGTGCAAAAGCTAAATTGCGCAGATTATTCCCATGAAAAGTTGGAATCATGCAGATTATATGACATTCACGGCGCTGAGATTGAAAATAAACCCCACCAACTTCTTCTATTATTGCAGCATGAACAATTACTTGATTGCTCAATGCAAATTACGTAAATATCAATAATTATTTAATTGAATAATGGTCTTCTTTTAGAATTYACACAGGCAATGATGCTTGTTCAGTTTTTCTGGGATTGTTTCTCTCCTGCTGCTGGCAAGTTTTGGGTACCTTCAAAAGGGCCACGTGTGTGAGGCAGCAAAGCAGCTGTGGCTTACCTTGGCACTGGAATCCCTGCTTCCCAAATCCCCTGCAGGAAAAAAGAGAAAAAAAAAAACTGCCTTAGTGTGTTTAGTTATAATTTCCACTCAATGATCTCTAAAAACATAAAAATAGCTTCATACTCAATTACTTCAGGTTTTGCTCCGGCAGCAACAGATTTTCAAATACACAACACAGAGCAGCCCACCCATTTCAAAGCAGAGAACAATAGCTGTCACCAGCTCTGTAATTTCAGCTTCTGGCAACAATTTTTTTATTATTATTATTTTACAAGCTATTTTGGATCTACAATTATCATCATCTGTGATTACTGCATAATATTTCAACTCGTTTAACGCCACATGTATACTTAACAGCCACGTAAAAGATTCCAAGTCCCAGCAAAGGCACATAAAACAAACCAGACTTGGGTTTTCATCCAAATTTTGGGATTACAGGCCGGTGTTAGGAGCCTCAGCCAGACTCCAGCCGTTTTGGTTTTTTTTTGTATGGAAAGCAGGCAGGTTAAAGGTTTTGCTTGTTTCAATATGAATGAAAAGACAGGCCCATGATTTTCATACTGATCATTCTGCAGTTTCCTCTCTCCATTTCCATAACGAAACACAAATGTGTGTGTGACACTTCTCCAACGAACACAGTGACAGTGGAATCCAACATAATTTATACCTCTGGAAAACTGCACTGCTGTGGATTTATTTGTTTATCTTYGAGCATTCAACATTCTCTCGCCACAAAAAAAAAACTGTTTGGAGTGTCCTCCCCATAAACATTTCTCTGCTTTTCCCCTCCTCTTTGCAGCCTGTTTTTCATCTGGAGARCTGGAGCTGCTCACACTCAAACACAGACACAAACCATGAGCTGGAGGAGCTGTRTGCAATTAAAACGTGCACTTTAATTATCAACTTTATGGAAATGCATTTTTTTTTAAGGATATCAACGATTTCTCCMCTTTTAATTTATTTATTTATGGGAGAGACAAAACTTTAGTGCAGTTACTTCAGGTGGAAGATGAAATGGCACAGCTTAGAGCATTTCTCTACATTTCCAYGCCCAAGTCGCTACTTGTTGTTGCTATAAGCAATCCTAAGCTAACAAAACCAGGAGAAACATCAAATTTTTTGTTTATTGGCAGCACACGTGCCTATATTGTCACTGYGATGCTGTCACCGCTCATCTTCACAAAACTCAACAGCTGGAAGTGTGGAAATGCAATTTCAGGAAAGCTGGTGGTGAAACTAAGAACATGAAACGGGCTGGAGATAATTTGGAGTCCTTTGAAACAGACTGATTTGCAAACATTCCTTTATTATCTGCTCCAGAAGCACGGCGGCTCCTCGGTGTTTGAGCTGAACCCGTGCAGAGCTGCAGCCCGGGCAGTTACAATGTGATTTTTAAGTTCAAAGTCTTAAAAAAAAATGTATCAACACCCCCGAAACAAAGCAGAGAGGCGACAGTTGCTTGAGTGGATAAGGAGGCACTAAACTATTTTGGTAAATATCACCTGATGAAAGGCAATCTAAGGAAAATTATCTGTACACAGTTCATTGAAAGGTTGTGTTTACTATTCTTTATACCTTCAAACATTCGTGAATTGATACAAAGATATTTTGGAAGCAGGCGATGCGCTTTGCAGGGCGTGCTCCGGCTGTTTGAGAGCGGCCCATCTTCGAACCAGGAAACGAAACAAGTTTTCGAGTTGTCAGATGCTCCTCTGAGGAATTTAAAGAGCTTCCCCAAGGCTCAGCAAAGKCGGCGAGACAAGAGCAGAGCGGCCCTCGGCACCTGTCAGCCCCGGGATAGCCTTTCACTCCCAAACCCGTTTCATTSGCGACACAAAAAGCTCTGCTTTGTTTTATAATTGTGCCACTAATGTGCACGAACACCGCTCGGCAATAACCCCGCAGCGGCTTTTCACACCTCCCGACTCCTTCTGGTTCAGATTAACTTTGAAGCAGTTTCTGAAGGTCTCTCACTTCCACCATACCCAACTCT